ACAACACTTAAAAATAGATTACTCCTCATATCAGGGCCTTCCCACATTATTCCCACACTCCGCATTTTTCGCATTTTTAGCCACTACACCCAAAACATTACTCATTTTGGGAATCTCCACAATATCAATTATTCCCACACCCTCCCCACCTCACTGCAGCTTCACCACCACACCACAATAGCTCCCCCTTTATATACAAGTAGTAGTTTAGTATATATGTATATAATATAATATAATAGACCACTTTTTTTGTTAATTTGTGTGCCTCCTCCTCCTCCAGGGGCCATTTAACATATGTTATGGTAAAGAACACTTTCGCATTTTTGCCCCTTTGGTGGGAAAGTGTTCTATGATATTCAGAACATGTTTATGAGCATATATGAATAGATTCCCATCTTTATTTGACCCCCTGAAGCGTCCTACATCAATAGATACAGCACATATGCAAGAAAACACAGAATATGTTCCCATTTAATTATTTCTAGATGAACAGACTTAGAAAAATGATTCCTAGCATCTATTCAACAATAGGAACAATGTATCAGGAGCTCATGACCATAGGATATTCCCCTGTTGCATATGGTGCCCCCCCTCTCCTGGTGGTTCATCCCCTGTGAAATTTTTTCCTGTAGGACCGGACCTTAATTGAGGTGAGGGGTCTATTTCTATGTATATTTGGAGTAGATCTATCATATAGCTGGCCCAGGACACACATAGGATCCTGCTACAAGAACAAAAACATAGAAAATCCTACTTTTGACATTTTTGATGTTTTTCAGTATCTTACTCTTGCATAAATGACCAGCCCTGCTCATATATTACAAGTAGTACATTCACACATATATTCTGTGCCAAGGATCAGCCCTACATAGGGCGCAAATTTGATATCTGATGTACAGGGGGTTTTTCTACTGATAAGAAGCCTACATAGTAATAAATCCTGTGATAAGTGATCAGATACCTGGAATACCTTTCATATATGTCCCAGATAATGTATTTGAAGTTTTAGAAAGATCCATGAAGGACTGACTGAATGACAAGTAAAATGACATATATGTGAAAAGTGACAATTGACATATTTTTACACAAAGTCACATTCAGATATGGTACAGATCAAATATGTAATTCAAAATATGTAGGATATATGGTAGACTACTAAAAGAACCTATACTACATACTGCCCTGAGGTTAGAGGGTTGTGGAAGGAATGTGGTGTATATCTGAGTTGACCCAGCATTAAAGTCCTACTACTGTCCAACTGATCATTTTCGATGTTTTGGGTCTTTGAACTTTCCCACACTCAATTTCTTATCTATTTCACTTCCTCAGCACTCAATTATTGTTGGATTGTTTTGTAAATTTAGGTATATGATAGTGAATGTATTTTAAATCTACTCCAGGTGTCTGATTATTAAATTTCGATGTTTTGAAAGTTTGGGCTTCTTATCAGTAGAAAAACCCCCTGTACATCAGATATCAAATTTGCGCCCTATGTAGGGCTGATCCTTGGCACAGAATATATGTGTGAATGTACTACTTGTAATATATGAGCAGGGCTGGTCATTTATGCAAGAGTAAGATACTGAAAAACATCAAAAATGTCAAAAGTGGGATTTTCTATGTTTTTGTTCTTGTAGCAGGATCCTATGTGTGTCCTGGGCCAGCTATATGATAGATCTACTCCAAATATACATAGAAATAGACCCCTCACCTCAATTAAGGTCCGGTCCTACAGGAAAAAATTTCACAGGGGATGAACCACCAGGAGAGGGGGGGCACCATATGCAACAGGGGAATATCCTATGGTCATGAGCTCCTGATACATTGTTCCTATTGTTGAATAGATGCTAGGAATCATTTTTCTAAGTCTGTTCATCTAGAAATAATTAAATGGGAACATATTCTGTGTTTTCTTGCATATGTGCTGTATCTATTGATGTAGGACGCTTCAGGGGGTCAAATAAAGATGGGAATCTATTCATATATGCTCATAAACATGTTCTGAATATCATAGAACACTTTCCCACCAAAGGGGCAAAAATGCGAAAGTGTTCTTTACCATAACATATGTTAAATGGCCCCTGGAGGAGGAGGAGGCACACAAATTAACAAAAAAAGTGGTCTATTATATTATATTATATACATATATACTAAACTACTACTTGTATATAAAGGGGGAGCTATTGTGGTGTGGTGGTGAAGCTGCAGTGAGGTGGGGAGGGTGTGGGAATAATTGATATTGTGGAGATTCCCAAAATGAGTAATGTTTTGGGTGTAGTGGCTAAAAATGCGAAAAATGCGGAGTGTGGGAATAATGTGGGAAGGCCCTGATATGAGGAGTAATCTATTTTTAAGTGTTGTGGGGAAATTCCCACAGTAGGTGGCCAAAAATGCGATAATTAGGGGTCTGAGATTATTATGGGAGTGTCTTAATGGGATCCTCCACTGATATATCAGTCCTTATAATCATAGATATTATGCACTACAGTAATACATGTATCACTATTGCCCTCTAATCATAGGTATTTGATGTATCATTCTTACAGTATGGCCTGGAAGGCACGGGTATAGCTGGGGTACGGGTAAGAGCGCGGGTCTTAGAATCCCAACCCGTACCCGTACCCCAGTAGTACCCGTACCCGTGACCCGCGCGGGTTACCCGTACCCGTGCAGATCCCTAGGTGCCGGCAAACGAGGATATCCGCACCTAAAACTTTACTTTACGCTCCGCGCTCCATCATTCCTATCATACACGGTGTCACACCCGAGTACTTGTATTATCCACAGCCAACGTCAGGGCCCCACCCACCACGAACTGTACAGCAAAGGTCCCGCAGATTGGAAGACTTGTGCATCTAAAACGGCCGGCGGGAACGGCGGACTGAGGGAGGCCACCCCTCCCTTAGGGCATTTGCGAAGTCGGAGACGCGGTGGAGGACTAGGGAGTCCTCCGTTTTCCTAGTTAGAATTGTCCTACATAGGGTACTGTACCCCACATGGACATAAATTGGACTTAAAAAAAAAAAAAAAAAAGCTATGTGACATCTCTCTCAATTCTTACTCGGCACTTCAAAGGTGAATTCAATGCGAACAACCTGCTCCTACAGAACATGCCTGTCCTTCAACCCTTTAACAACTTATCTTCTACGATCTTCCGCGAACATCTGGTTTATGCATGTCCATGTTGGAGTCTGAGAACGGACGTACCTGGAGATGAGTGATGTCGGACGACGGGCACAATCAAGCCATTCCCGACCGAACGAACCTTTTCGTCTTTTCTCCTACTCTCCCCGTAAGATAAAACTATGTTGTCGATCTGGAAATGTAAGTAATCGAAAATGGACCTTTCAGGTCTTCAAAGCTTCGGGCCTCAGGTGTGATCTCGCGGCGAAGGCGGCCAAGTCTCAAAATATCACCACATCTACAAGACTCTTGCGACATTCGTGATAAGGACTTCCGGGTCCACAATGCCCCACATCATGATGGTGGAACGGATGCTGCACATGCATGCGTTCGAGGTAAAAATGGTCTTTATTCAAGAACCTACAATCCTGGACCCATTCTCATATGACGAGATACTATTGGTTGAAAAATCCCTGTAACGACATGCGGGACCTTTCATGAGCCTAGAAACTTGTGCTTCCGCTTTACCTGTCTCTCCACAGGTGCTGGTGGTGAGATTGGAGAGGGTGGAAGGAGAGAATCGCCTAAACTTTTCTGCTTCATGTTCGTTGGACATGGTGACTTGTTAGTTTTCATCGAACTGTGCGCGTGATTTATGAACGGAGTGCTTACTAGTAGATACAGACTGTGGGTGCTCTTATGTGCTTGTGTTGCCGAGAACGAGAAAAATGTCTGTTTGGTTGCAAGCAGGGCCCTGACAGTGATCCCGACCTGTGCAAGAGTGAGACGAGGTGAGCCGTTATTCCCACATTAGTCGGAGTGAATGCGACGCACCAAATTGAACGTTGAATCCCTAAATTGTAGGAGCCCGTAAGGGGACGCATCGATGGGAGGCTACATGAGACAGTAGCAAAAGTAGTAAGAAGGCATCCGTGTGAGCATAAATGCGGGCATCTGCGTCAATGCGGGGATCCGCATCAATGCAGGAGTTCGCGTCGGTGAAAGCGCCTGCGTCAATGCAAGTATGCGGGCCCACGAAAGTGCAGGAATCTACACGCGCACGGCAGCAGGTGTTGGCAAGGACGGTGATGACGCTCGCCAATGGTAGAAGGTGTCATAGTGACTGGGTGGATGATTCCTCCCCTTATCAAGTTTTGCGGTGAAGGACCTGACGAGAGTTCACAACGGTGAACTTCCTACACGAGTGAGCTTGAGAGTCGGTGTGCCAGTGCTACTCGTGGCCTGCTTCCACACCAGACTTGTCTTCGTTGCACACAACGATCTGGGCCGTTGGAGCTTACCGGAGTTTGTAGCAGAAAAAAAACTCAGAAAGGAGGACAGGGCACCGGAGCTTGCTAGAATTAATCTGCCAATGGGCGCTGTGGGGTACCTAGTAGCTCCTAGTAGGCAGAGAAGAGAACCCACATGCTGCACAGCCACTGCGCGAAGTTCTCTGTTACAACAACCAACTCCACACTCCGCTTGCGAACTAGTAATTTCAAATATCGTTGGCCTTGCAAGGACTTGTCGTGTACAACCTCAGCATTGCACAGGGTTGCCTCATGGTACACAGCCATATCAATATTAATATCGCTCATTGGGCTTCTGGCCAACACTGTGCAGTCGGACTCATAGAAAATATGGTATGTGAGTCGGAGACTCATTGAGATCCACGTCACTACTGGCACGAGGACCCATGGTTCTTCAAGCTTCAAGTTCAAGGGTAAATGAAGGAACTGTCTGTCTTGACCTGACCGGAAACTTGCGCAAACAAATGGCGCAACAAAGACTTGGACTCGGTGCAACAGCTCACCATCAAACTGGTCCAATGATACACGCAATATCTTTGGCAAAAAGTTCAGCTAGCGTGTCGAGCGTAGCCAGATTGTGGTCATAGGCCCGGGTAAGTACTACAAGCTGCCACGCTTGCGACAGTCAACTAATTTCAAATATGAATCGAAACCCTAAAGTGCCAACACACTTCGTACGTCTCATGGTACACAGCTCTCCTATATTGATAACATTGCCCATTGCCCAAGTACTAAATCTAGATGCTGGCTTAGGGTTGGGTAGTTGCCGGGTTCACACACTGCAGAGATTATAAGGCTACACCAACCGCTTCTCTGTGACTCATATTTACTACCACTTCCACCATCATGGATCCTGCAAAGATAAGAGAGAAAATCGGTCGCTTTCGGATCCTCGTTATAGGACGAGCGAACGCAGGAAAAACTACCATTCTGCGGAGAGTCTGCAACACGCGGGATGATCCAGAAATATACGACAGCGACGGGGAACAGGTGGGCATCACAATGCTAGTAGGAGGATGGTAGTGACTCATCGACATTAGATCGACCTAACAGTTTTAATGGCATCTAGAGAGGTAAGGTGTGCTCCTAGTCGATGCCATGAACTGACGTGCTCTCAGCGCGGACTGCACGACATCGAGAACGAAATGGTGTTTAAGAACAACCCAGGATTCATCTTCCATGATTCACGCGGTTTTGAGGCAGGCGGCGCATCCGAATTCGAAAAGGTCAAGGCATTCATCGCGAGCCGCTCCAAGGGAATGAAAATAAAGAATCAACTACATGCTATCTGGTGATTACAACAGATCTATCGCGACAATGTACTATCTCACAGATTCAAAATAGGTACTGCATTCCCATGGACGAGGCACACAGGTCGTTCACTGCAAGTGAAGTGAAATTCTTCTCAGTGTGACACAGGAAGCGGTAAGCATTCGCATTCCACCCTCGTTGACGTTCGGCTGATACGCAGAATCGCAATCCTCAGTTCCAGTGATCGTATTATTTACCAAATTTGATGCCCTATACGACGTCGCATTCGCACAGCTAAGGAAGGAAGGAAGATCTCGGAAAGACGCTAAGGAACTGGCCCCGAAACAAGCCGAAGAGTCATTCCCTAACGGGCCACAATTGAAGTTTCTCAAGGATGTGCGATGGCCTCCAAAATGTTATGTATGTCTTTCTGGTAAGCCGGTTCGTGGTCGAGTCGCGATGCATGATGACCTTTGATCTATTAGACATGGAGAAGGATGATGCAGATTGCAAGACACTCATCGAGCGCACGGCTGGAACTCTGGATAATGAAGTGCTTCAGCAATTATTCGTCTCGACCCAGCAAAGCAACTTGGAGATCTGCATGAAATATGCAGTTGAGCGGTAACTACCCACGGTCTTATTCACCTGCTGCAAGCGTTAGTGACTGATATTGCACAGAACATTCTTACAACATTTTGACTCTGCAGAGACGACGACATCTGAGGGTTATTGGAGGATAATAGGGACATCGGGCGCCTGGTTTCCACACATTCTGGTAAGATTATCGTGAAGTTCGAACGTTGCTCTCATTTACGTTGGGCGTTTACTTGCAGGTAGTACGTATGTCGATCCTTGTTCGAACTCGAGTGATGCTGATCCAAGTCGTTGCCCACCATTCGCAGCAAGTGAGTGTGTCGATCCTTGTTTGAGCAACAGCCATACTGATCCAAGTCGTTGCCCACCGTTCGCAGACAGTGAGTGTGCCGATCCTCGTTTGAGCAAGAGTCATGCTGATCCAAGTCATTGCCCACTGTTTGCAGAGAGTGAGTGTGTCGATCCTCGTTCAAACGAGAGTCATGCTGATCCACGTCGTTGCCCACTGTTCGCAGTTAGTGAGTGTGTCGATCCTTGTTTGAACTGGAGCCATGCTGATCCAAGTCGCTGCCCACCGTTCGCAGACAGTGAGTGTGTCGATCCTCGTTCGAGCAACAGCCATGCTGATCCAAGTCGTTGCCCACCATTCGCAGGGAGTGAGTGTGTCGATCCTCGTTCGAGCAAGAGTCATGCTGATCCAAGTCGTTGCCCACCGTTCGCAGTTGGTGAGTGTGTCGATCCTTGTTTGAACTCGAGCCATGCTGATCCAAGTCGCTGCCCACTGTTTGCAGATAGTGAGTTGATCTTCGTTCGAGCAGGAGTCATGTTGATCCAAGTCGTTGCCCACCGTTCGCAGACAGTGAGTGTGTTGATCCTCGTTCGAGCAACAGCCACGCTGATCCAAGTCGTTGCCCACCGTTCGCAGTCAGTGAGTGTGTCGATCCTCGTTCAAACGAGAGCCATTCTGATCCAAGTCGTTGCCCACTGTTCGCAGTTAGTGAGTGTGTCGATCCTTGTTCGAACGAGAGCCATTCTGATCCAAGTCGTTGCCCACTGTTCGCAGATAGTGAGTGTGTCGATCCTCATTCGAACGAGAGTCATGCTGATCCAAGTCGTTGCCCACCATTCGCAGTTGGTGAGTGTTTGATCCTCCATCAAGCGCAGCCTTCATGAATCAAGCCATCGCTGCTAATCCGTTGATAGAATGTGAGTCCGTTGACTCTTTGTCCAGTTCAAGCATTCCTGACCAACACAATTGATCATCTACTGGCAGGAGGTCAGTACATTGATCCTCCAGCGACTTTAAGCTACTGATCGAAGATATCGTCTATTTGTTGACAGCTTGTGAGTAGTATGATTATCCTTTGTCGACCTTCTGCCTTCCTTACCGATGCAATCGCTGATTTATTGTTAGGATGTGGGTGTATTGATTCTACGTCACCCTCACTGACAGAACACAATATCGCTCCGTTGACAGATTGTGAGTTTCTCGGTCCACCACGAACGCAAGCCATACTGACTGAAGATATCGACCATTCATTTACAGGATGTAAGCGCATTAATCCACAGTCGGATTGGGGCCCCACTAACCATTGAAATTGCTCATCCCTGTCGACAGGTCGTGAGTGTGTTCATCTGCCATTAAGCTCGAGCCTTGCTCACCGACTACATTACTGATCTGTTGACAGTTCGTGAGTTTCTCTATCCTCATCCTCAATCGAGCTCTAGCTTTGCTCACCGATGGCATTGCTCATCCATTGCCAGAAAGTCAGTGTGCTGATCCTCCATCGAGTTCGAGGTTTGCTTAGTACCACTGAAATCGCGCATCCTTCAATAGAGAGTGAGTCTCGAGCCTTGCTAGCGAATGTCATCGCTGATTCATCAATAGGACGAGCTTTACGACGAGCACCGTGTAGAGATACAGTCTAGGTTACTCTCTGCGGTATGTCTAACTGGTTACAGATTGTGCACGCATTTCTCATGTTGCGACTCTGTCAGACCTCCCACTCATCACCCTTGGAGAATATCGTTCAGCTCATTTCTGGTGAATTTTGAGGCCACGTTGCGATGAACCTGCTTATTATTGACCATTTAGCTGTTGTCATTATCTTTGAACACTCTTTCTACATTTTCGACAAGCGGCGCTATCTTCAGGACAAGGAGTCTAATCCCTCGTTTCGTGTCGCTCTCGAGCAGTACATAGCATCTCCGCATGCAGCTACTGTCAGGGAAGCTGTGAGTGCTGCCGTCCAGGCGTGTGAAGAAGCTGTGGCTACTGCCGCCCATGCATATGAAGAAGCTGTGAGCACTGCCGTCTATCCATATCAAGGAAAACTGCCTTCTTGGATAAGAAAGTTACCGTTTGAATCTTTCAAGAGGAAGGCAAAAGAGGCCAAGGAATCCTTTGAATGCTCTCGGGCGAGAGAAAAAGATTCTTTGTGCTCTCAGGCGCACGAGGAGTTAATTGAAGCTGTTCTTGAAATCGCTCTAAATCATCGCCTGCGTATGTTTCACCATCACGTTGAGGCAGCACTCCCACTGATCCCCTTGTTTTCAGCTAGACCTTAATATCAGGCAATGCAACACACCATCACGATCAATGATGCTCCGGTTCGGAGAGGAGTGGAGGTGCCAGTCTGGGCTGTGAAGGTTGCTTGAAATGTTTGTTGAGGTAGATTCAGGATGTGGAACTGTATGAATTAGTTGTATGATCATACAATATAGCGCTTTGTGTGGTATGGGGTATACGTGTTTAGAGAATGTCAGTCACCCTCAGTCGAGACCGTGGCGAGAGCTAACTGCGCTTGATGTGCTTCTCAAGTATCCGTGGTACGATCGGAATCTGCTGATTCCCACCTCATCCCCTGCTACAACAATTAATCTGTGGTTTCATGCGGTGTATAGTCCTCTTGATCAGGTCTGTCAATCTTTGCATCACGCTGCCCGCATCAAGAAAACCCTCCGATACAAACCTAGACTAAGTATGTCAAGTTGAATGAAACCTCTCTCTAATACATTATGGTTTCGCAGAAGTAGGCAACTTAGAGAATCTTTTTTACTGCCCCACCAGATCTTACTCGTGTGGGACCGCGAGAAAACTAATATCAACAGCGAGCGTCACAGTAGACTGAGACGGTCATTTATTGCATGACAATTTGTAACGAAAGCGCAACTCACAAATATTGTATATCCATTCCATTCGATGGTGATCCTATCGATAAAATCCTTCCATCGCGGTTGAACGATGGTTTCATCGACCCATATCATGTGAATTTCCCAGCTGGAGATCCAAACAGAATAACATCCATGATACGAAGGATGATCTTATTCGAGCGGGTGTCATGTTCTCCGTATAGAGATTGATCTATGTCAAGTCGGGCACCTGGTTGTCCACAGAAATTCACAAACTTTGCGTTGCCTAGTAAAGTAATCAGGAGATAGAAATCGCGGACTACTAGACGAAATTCACAGTCAATAGAGCTGAAATCAGCAAACGTATCAGGAGCAATCAACTGACATTCCATGATCACACATACCAGCAATCCACCCGGAGTGCTCGCGCTCCTCGTTAGTACTGTCTGAAAAGATGATCAACAACAACTTTCCCGCATCAGGGAACAATTCACCCTTGAGATGATCTACAAGTCCAAGCATACTTGCAACTTCACTCAAGGCAAAAGGTGCTAGGCACGTTTCAGAAGTGATGTTTTCTATTACGATGTCAATCATGTACGTGAAACGCTTATTGATCTTTACTCACCTGCATGAGCATGCATGACAATTTCTTTGAGCGTCACGACAATGTCTTCTGGAAGGACGCGTTTGTTTGGAAATAGCTCAATATATCTCCTGCCAACGTCACGGTATGTAAATCCTGGCAAGTAAAAAAGGGCTGTAACAAATGGTGAACGCATTTACTTTGGTTGAGTGATGGAACACACCTACATTTGCAGTTCATACGAACCAATACTGTGAATCCAATGCATACTCAAGCTCGAAACGAAAGCTCCCCGTGGAAAGAACTTACTGATGTGCTTTTTCGCTCTACACCTCGAACATTATTCACAAGGTCAGGAGATTCGTAGTCTTCGAACCAGAAAATGACACGTCTGTCGTGGTCGACAAAGTAATAGCCCCAATTTTTTTTGTTCGCCTCCGCAATAAGCTCCAATGCGAGCTCGACGGATGAATCCAAGATGATGTTTGCCTTCCGCGTGCCTTCGTACGCCGTCTCAACAGCTTTGTTTATTTCGACACTGATTTCGGGATCTCGAACATTGGCATCAGTGGAAATTCTCTGGTGTGTGACTTGAGTGAAGTCATGTACTGGGAGCAGGCGGACACACGTGACTTTACATGAAGAAGAACAAGGCGCCTTCCGGGTGCGTGAGCAGCTCCCATCCTTCTACTGCAGCAAGCTCCCTACGGAGAGTATTTTAATCTCATCACCGGCTCTTTCACCGGTATGCTTACCCTTCAAGTCCAAAAGACCTTTCTTAACCTTAAATAACTCGCAACACTATTTCTGTGAGTATGGATTAGAACAGCAGCTCACTCGACATAGTATAATTTGCGTACATGGGAACAGGCCTGTCGTATCATTTGACCTGTGGGCCGGGCACAATGGGTGTTAAAGAGATGTCAACGATGTATCCTAGCATCGTGGAAGACGATGACCTCGCGACAGCGACGGGGATGCTGTGCTCGGGCATAGAAATTGGCGTGAACGGCACAGCAGAGCTCCCGGGAGAATCACCGGCTTGCTCGCCTCTTCCTGAAGTTTCCTTCTCCTTTCATCCCTCTCGAAGAACTCTTCCACGCCTGACTTTCCTTCTATTTGTGAAGCATGAGCTGCAGGAAGTGGTTGAGGCCCAACATCTGAATCCGAGTCATCATCGTAAGGAGTTTGTGAGTGAGGCAATGATGGTCCTACATAGTGTCGGTTTGGAGGCCGCCGGTGCATTCGATTCGCTGTTTGAGGGCAACGAAGACCCAGCTGCACGGGAGGCAGTAGGGTCGGGTTGACAGAGCCGGTGTGTAATCGTCGTCATCGTCAGAATCTCCGGATGACGCAACGGTCGCATACAAGTGCTCCATGCAGATGATGCATTTTCGCTTCGTACATACTGTGGCCGAAGTTCGGAGACCTCCATGTAAACCGCACGGTTCTGTGCAATCCAACGAACGACAAATCTGTGTTGAGTTTACCGTCCATCGAAGTACAGTGTACAAATTGTAAAATGTCGGGTTTCTACATAGCCGGAATACAATTACTAATCACGCTGCCGCAGACGCTTTGTCAGTCTCGACGCTCGAGCCGGTACTCTCTAATCCAACAATCCGATCAATCACGCATCCACACTAATCAGGCAGTGACTCATCTGACTAGTACGTGAACGGAAGGAAGAACAGTATTACATGACTCACATGTCCGATGGATCCGTGCAGGTGTCGAACTTGACTGTAATCTCAGCGTACCCGTCGCACATCACAACATGTTGCCGCTCGATTCTGGAGTACTTAACATGATGCAAAGGCCTGGGGTGTGATAACTATCAGCAAGCTCAATCATTCAAGGTTTCAATGGCGATTCTCATTGCATGCACCTTTATTGTCTTGGCCACCATCTGGATTGTGAAGCAACGATATCATGCCGCAAGGCGGTTGCCATTACCACCTGGACCACCTGGACGTTGGCTTTTAGGAAATGCAATGCCAAAGTCATAGTGAGTCTTCGTCGAGGGACATCAACAGTCTCTAACCCCTCACGTAGTGCGCCGTTTCAATTCGCGAGATGGACAGAACAATACGGACCTGTGTTCTCGCTCAAGCAAGGCCATAGGATTTTCGTGATTATAGGACGTCATCAGGTAAGCATCAAGCAATTCATCGGCTAGCCAGGCATGAAATGGGTCTCGTCATAGGCTGCAGTGGATATCATGGAAAAAGAGGGAGCAAATCTTGCCGACCGCCCAAGTTCTATTGCAGTCCAAGACACATTATCTGGTGGGTTGAGAATTATTCTCGAAGGCAGTGGTGAGAGATTGCGCCGGCTGCGCAGGTAAGTATCTTGTCTCTACCAGGTGCAGTCAGTGAGACTGAATGTAAAACAGGGCCTTGCATGCAGGCTTGCAACCCAGGGTTGCGGAGACCTACGAGCCCATCCAGACCAGACATTCGAAGAATCTGGTTCTGGATATCTTAAATGATCCAAAGAACCACCAAGGTCATGCCATGCGGTACGAACTCTTGCTCTTACTCCCGCGGTATAGGTGGTAATACAAATTTTTAGTTATTCAGCTTCTGTGGTTATGTCCTTCACCTATGGAAAAACTACTCCGACTTCATACACAGACCCTGAAATCGTTGCCGTCAATCGGTCTCTTGCGCATTTTGGTCAAGCTATCCAGCCGGGAGCCTACCTTGTGGATACGTATCCAATCCTGCGCTTCATCCCAGGCTACCTAAGTCAGCTGAAGGCATGGCACCAAGAAGAACTCGCTCTTTTCAATGGGCAGTTGGACGCTGTGCGAAGACAAATGGTTCGTGGTTTTACTGCGATGAGAAATTTCCTTACTCATCACTGTGAAGCGTGAGGGGACTGCAAGGGCATCATTTGCGAGGTTCATATTAGAACACCAAAAACAGTACCAGCTCGAAGACAAGCAACTGGGATACATTGCGGGAGGAATGTTTGCCGCCGGTTCTGATACGGTAAGTTCTTACATCAGATCGCGTCTTCACTTGACAACTGTTGTAGACTGCGTCCGCAATCACAATCATGATGATGGCCGCGGCCATTCACACAGATGCACAGGCTCGCGTACAAGAGGAACTTGATGACGTCGTGGGGCGTACACGGTGTAGGTTGCGCCTATACTATGTTAATCTACTTACTGAAATAACTCCTGACTAGTACCCACATTTGCTGATCAGGAAATGCTGCCGCAGGTTACCGCGTTCATGCTCGAGAGTCTCAGGTGGAGACCTGTCAGTATTGGAGGTGTGTTTTATTTAAGCTGCGATGATGTGATAATGAACGGCTACCTTGCAATACAGGCTTTGCGCATCGCGCGACTAAGGACATAATTTGGAACAACTACCTCATTCCTGCAGGTGCGACTGTGATTGGCAACCATTGGTCAGTAGGCAATCGTTTTCGTCCTCTCACATTTGGGTCTGACGCTCGTGCTTCAGGGCTATCGCAAATGATCCCGAGGTCTTCCCAGAACCACACCAGTTTAATCCTCAGCGTTGGATCGACGATGCAGGTCGTGTGCGCAGTGATCTCAAGTTTTTCACTTTTGGCTTCGGCCGTCGGTAAGTGGCATCGCTCATGTCTCGACTCGTTCTCATGCCTTAAAAATTTCAGAGTGTGTCCTGGTCAACATGTCGCGACCCGGTCCATCTTCATCAATACGGCTCTTATTCTCTGGGCTTTTCGCCTTTCTGAGAATCCTGCAGCAAAGATTGACACGCTTGCATTCTCAGACACTGCAACCATACATGCTGCTCCGTTTGAGCTATGTTTGGAGAAGAGGATCGATGAGAATGTGATCAGGGAACTATGCGCACCGGAGGAGTAAAAGGCGTTTATCTAGGAACTTGAAAGTTCTAATAAGTACATGGTAATGTAGGGATTGAATTCACTAAAAGGTTGTGTCCCTTGAATGGCCTTCCTACCACTGCTCTGTTTTCCACGTCCCAGATTCGCAGGGTTTTATCCTTTGAAGGAGTGACAATCTATCGACTGTCGTTGAATTCAAGAACGCGACTGCCCGTCAGTGTTTTCGTGTGTACTCGTATCATGTGTGTTGGCGCCGGCGTCCCTCGCATAAGAGATGCTTCTTGTGATGCAATCCTGACGTCACGATGGACAGCCAATAGCGTATTACTATGATGCTATCTATCACCAGCGATTTTGCTTTACCTCTCCCAAAAGCTTTTGCCCTTGCAGGCTGTCATGTGTTCTTGCTGAACATAGTTGTGTTTATAGTTCGTGCAACAAGCAATTTGTGGGATGCATCTTGTTCGATAGCGACTCAGTTGTAGTGACCCATCACGAAGTTTCGGTGGATCTCTCAGCAGAATTGAAGCCTCCACTTACGCTCGCTGTACTGTGTTGTGTCGATTAACCAACAAAAACGTGAAATAAAAAAAAATGGTCGAAAAGGTTCCTTGAAAAATCGTAAAACTACAAGGTTACAAAGGGTGGAAACAGATCGAACAGAGCAGCAGCTTTACAATCATTGTTTATCACACACCTGAGTAACATGCGCGCGATCGCCCTACATCGCTTTTCACTTTACTACAATCGTACAGTCATGATCCGAGTTGTATTGAATCATCATGCATCTTGTAATTCCCACTGCAAGTCAGTGCGTAGCCTAGCGGTACTCCCAAATTTGACCAGGGCTTCAAGAGTGGTCTGGGATGGTACTTTCTTCTGCCAAGAGACAAGCCCACGCAGCAGCTGGCTCGCGACCTCGGGATGTTGGCTCGAGAATGGAAATGTGGTTTTGCTTATTCCGGATGCGTAGATCCGCAGACATCGGTCTGTTTCGGCGTGATTTGGCTCCTTCTCCGGGAACGTAACGTTAAGCTTCGGTTTCACATTCAGGTCGAGAAGAAGAGCGATGTAGGGAAGATTCGATAGGCACTGGATCGAACCACTGGCATGCGTGCGAGTGACTAACCCCAAGTCATGCTCATGGTAATTCTTCCCCGTTTTGTCGGAAATAAACATTTGTGAGACGCGATTGAGATCATCGGAGCTGAGGGCAGGATCGTCAAAATAGATGGGAATCATCTTGTCGACGAGCGGCTGCAGATGACAACATTGGACCGCGCTTGTGCGATGCCAGTGTCGCAAAGTCCCATAGGGAAGCCCAGATCACTTGGATCACGAAGGTTCATGTACAAAACAATGACACCTTTGTTCCGGAGCTAAATTCGAAGCTTTAGCCACCTGATACAAACATGGAACGCTGACCTCGATCATTAGTCTTGATTTTCCTGTACCAGAACTTTGGACGATCCAACAGAACTTAGCATAGTATGGCCTATGCATGCCACCCGTGAACTTCATGTTGTTATTTTTCAGGTACTCGTAGAAACCGTCCACAGCCTTGCCAACGTAAGATCTGACGAATGAATCGTAGAGGAAGTCTGACCGGTGCTCATCTGGGATACAACTGACCTGAGATGTAACTGTAGATGTTCAAAATAAAAGTCTCTCACCTTGAGACGGCCGCACGGTATCGCTAGCTTGGGGTATTTAAAACATTTCTGCGTTTCCAGCGACTGTCAACAGAGGGACATCTATGGCACTGACATGAGCACTCACTGAGGTCAGCGATGTGAGAGAACGAGCGCGTCTGACAAGCGTGGCGGATGATTTCCCGTAGTTGAGGGTGTTTCTGCAATGTTTCCTCCTGTGAAGTGTTCACGTTTGAGAAATCTACTGACTGCCAAAAGAGTTCTTTCCATGATCAAGACAAGCATGTAGTCCAAGAGATCCGATGTGGTGTCCTCTTTATCTTCACTGATAATCTTCAGGATGCGGCCACTGGCCTGAAGTAAGACTCTATCGATCTCATCACGTTGTTGCGATGTGAGCGGCAGGAGTGTTATGGGAAGATCCTGTGATGTTGATGAACCTGACATGGGCGACGGAGCGTGTCGATGTAAAGTGATTAAGACTCTTAGAAAAGTTCGAAGGGATTCAAATACTATTCAAGCGGCGCGTCTGAGACCACTCCCTACATATTATGTAATAGTCCGCGCTTCTGTGCGGCGCCACGAGTATCATTCAAAGGGAGAGCAAACGCGATTGCCATTTAATTCAAGTTGTCTGCTGCCTGTTCTTCGTTTTGGCCAGCTAGAAAAAGAAAGCGCATGCGGGGTGGCGAAATGATCGAATAGTAAAATGATACGACTTCAGTATTATACTTCATTTTTTCCGTCTGATCAGCCACGCAACTTGGAGAGTATTGCGGTGTGTCGAGAGATACTTGATGCGTGGTAACACCAAGGGGATCAAGTTCATTATTATAATCATGCCTGTTTGAAGATATGCAAAGTTAGGCGTAACAAGAAATTTGAGTCGGACAGACAACGAAAAGACTCTAGAACGCGACGGGAAGAGTTCCTTTGCACAAAGATTCAAGTTTCTGGAATAGACGCCTTTTAGTTGTCCGGTGCGCATAGTTCCCTGATCACATTCTCATCGACCCTCTTCGCAAAACATATCTCAAACGGAGCAGCACGTATGTTTGGAGTGTCCGAGAATGCAAGCGTGTCAATTTTCGCTGCAGGATTCTCCGAAAGGCGGAAAGCCCACAGCATAAGAGCCGTGGTGATGAAGACCGACCGATTCGCGACGTATTGACCAGGACATACTCTGGTCACGCATAAGAAATGGTCGAGAGATGAACTATACCACTCACCGGCGGCCAAAGCCAAAAGTGAAAAATCGGAGATCACTGCGCACACGACCTGCATCGTCGATCCAACGCTGGGGATTAAACTTGTGTGGTTCCGGGAAGACTTCAGGATCGTTTGCGATAGCCCTGAAACATGAGCGTCAGACCCAAAGGTGAGAGGACGAAAATGATTATGTACTGACCAATGGTTGCCAATAACAGTCGCACCTGCAGGAATGAGGTAGTTGTTCCAAATTATGTCCTTCGTCGCGCGATGCGCAAAGCCTGTAGTGAAAGGTGATCGTTCATCATCGCGTCACCACAACTCAAATAAGACGTACCTCCAATACTGACAGGTCTCCACCTGAGACTCTCGAGCATGAACGCGGTAACCTGCGGCAGCATTTCCTGATCAGCAAACGTCGGCACTAATCAGGATTTATTTGAGTCAGTTGATGCACAAAGAAAAGGGATAACCTACGCCGCGTACGCCCCACGACATCATCGAGTTCCTCTTGTACGCGAGCCTGCGCATCTGTGTGAGTGGTAGCAGCCATCATTATGATTGTGATTGCGAACGCAGTCTACAACAGTTGTCAACTTAAGACGCGATGGAATGTAAGAGCTTACCGTTTCAGAACCGGCCGCAAACATCGTTCCTGCAACGTATGCCAGGTCCTTGTCTTCGAGCTGGTACTGTTTCTGGTGCTCTACGATGAACCTCGCGAAGGATGGCCTCGTAGTCCCCTCACGCTTCACAGTGGTGAGCAAGGAAATTTGTCATAGCAGTAAAACCACGAACCATTTGTCTTCGTACACCGTCCAACTGCCTGTTATAAAGAGCATGTTCTTCTTTGTGCCATGCCTTCAGCTGACTCAGGTAGCCAGGGACGAAGCGCAGGATTGGATACGTCTCCACGAGGTATGCTCCCGGCTGGATAGCTTGACTAAAACGCGCAAGAGTCTTATTGACGGCAACAACTTCAGGATCTGCATATGAAGTCGGAGTAATTTTTCCATAAGTGAAGGACATGACCACCGAAGCTGAATAACTGAAATGCTCGGATTACCACCTGTACTGCGCAAGCAAGAGTAAGAGTTCGTACCGCATGGCATGACCTTGGTGGTTCTTTGGATCGTTTAAGATATCTAGAACCAAATTCTTGGCATGCCTGGTCTGGATGGGCTCGTAGGACTCTGCAACCTTGGGTTGCAAGCCTGCATGCAAGACCCTGCTTTACATTCAGTCTCACTGATTGCACCTGGTAGCAAGATGTGTACCTATGTAGCCGGCGCAATCTTTCGCCAGTGCCCTCGAGGAGCAATCCAAACCCGTCAGTCAACGTCTCTTGCGCTGCAATAGAACGCGGGCGGTCGGCAACATTTGCTCCTTCTTTTTCCATGATATCCACTGCAGCCTGTGACGTGATCTACTTCATCCCTGGCTAGACAATGTGTTGTATTATGCTGACCTGATGACGTCCTATAATCACGAAAATCATATGGCCTTGTTTGAGCGAGAACACAGGTCCATATTGTTCTGTCCATCTCGCGAATTGAAACGGCGCACTGCGTGAGGGGTCAGATAGAGATCTCATTGGTGTCCCTTGACAAAGACTCACTGTGACTTTGGCATCATGTTTCCAAATAGCCAACGCCCAGGCGGTCCAGGGGGTAATGGCAACTGCCTTGCAGCCTGATATCGTCGTTTCACTGTCCAGATACTGGCTAAGATAACGATAAGGATGCATGCAATGATGATCGCCATTGAAATGGTCCGGCTTGTTGATAATCACGATTCTGATACCCCGCTACTTTGCAACCTAAGTATTCCAGAACAGAGAGGTGGTGATGTGCTATGATGAGCGGCGGGTACAATGAGATTAGAGTGCATGATTACACTGACTTATACTTATACACACAGGAATGGAACACCTGCGGCCATGCGCGGGTGAAGCTAATCACGTATTGCAGTCTTCCTATAGTATGATAGGCCAAGCACCTGGTGCCTGATGCTGACCGCCCTGGCGATAAGTGAGTATTACTTGGACACGCGAGTGCGAACACATTTCGACTCCACCTGAAGATCAGGGCAAATACTCGATGACCCGTTGAATTTGTCGTGGCATAGGACCGTCGACCATTCATAAGTTTACAAAACATTGTAATGGAGGTCGACAAGGCGGAAGTGTACAGTGGGTCACCATTCTAACAATAGAAGTTTGTACGCCGAACTTATAACCGAGACACCGGTGGTTCTAGTGCCGCAGATCTGATCCTCGGTTCGGACCCGAACTTTGCGAGGAATCCGGGAAATGGAATTTTTTGAGTCCGTCCGGCTGGGTCCGTCCGGTTCACGACATCGGACCTTTGATGCGCTGTTGGTTATCTTTATCTCTTGGACTCGAGGATGGCTTGATTGCGCTCGTCGTCCGACGTCGCTAATCTACAGATGCGTCCGTTCTCCCAGACTCCGACACGAACATACATAAACCAGATGTTCGCGGAGGATCGTGAAAGAAAATTGTTAAAGGCTTGAAGGACAGGGATGTCGGGAAGATCAAGTTGTCCAAATTGAATTCGACTTTGAAGTGCCGAGTAAGATCTGAACGTGAGATGTCACATAGCTTGAGGTGCTTCAGAGGTGCCTCGAAGTGAAGGTAAAAAATTATGTCTGATGGGACTGTCAGCCGCGTTAAAGACTACCGTGATCGGAACTATGAGACTGGGAAGCACACAATGAAACCCGTGCCAACTTTGAGAGAGTTATCTATTTTTCGTTTTGGCCAGCTAGAAAAAGGAAGCGCATGCGGGTAAAATGATAGGACTTCAGTACCATACTTCATTTTGTCCAGGGGCTGTCTGTAAATGGCTCATGATCAGCCACGCAACTTGGAGAATATCGTAGTGTATCGAGAGATACTTGATGCGTGGTAACACTAAGGGGTGCAAGTTCATCATTATAATCATGCCTGTTTGAAGATATACAAAGTTAGGTGTAACGGTGAGTTTGAGTCAGATAGACAACGAAAAGACTCCAGAACGCAAGACAAACTCCTTTGCTCAAGTTTCTGGAATAAACGCCTCTTATTTGCCCGGTGAGCATAGTTCCTTGACGACATTCTCATCGATCCTCTTTGCAAAACATATCTCAAATGGAGCAGCATGTATGTTTGCAGTGTCCGAAAATGCAAGCGTGTCAATCTTCGCTGCAGGATTCTCCGAAAGGCGGAAAGCCCACAGAATGAGAGCCGTGTTGATGAAGACCGACCGATTCGCGACATGTTGACCAGGACACACTCTGACATTTTCAAGTAGGGTATAAGAAATGGTCAAGAGACGGATGATACCACTTACCGACGGCCAAAGCCATAAGTGAAAAACTTGAGATCACCGCGCACACGACCTGCATCGTCGATCCAACGCTGAGGATTAAATGTCTGTGGTTCTGGAAAGACTTCAGGATCGTTTGCAATAGCCCTGAAGTACGAGCGTCAGACGCAAAGGTGAGAGGACGAAAATGATTGCATACTGACCAATGATTGCCAATAACAGTCGCACCTGCCGGAATCAGGTAGTTCTTCCAAATCATATCCTTAATCATGCAATGCGCAAAGCCTGTAGTGAAAAGTGGTTGTTCATTATCGCATCTTCACACCTCAAATAGGATGTACCTCCAAGACTGACAGGTCTCCACCTGAGACTCTCGAGCATGAACGCAGTAACCTGCGGCAGCATTTCCTGATCAGCAAACGTCGGCACTAATCAGGAGTTATTTGAGTCAGTTGATGCACGAAGAAAAAGGATAACCCACGCCGCGTACGCCCCACGACGTTATCGAGTTCCTCTTGTACGCGAGCCTGCGCATCTGTATGAGTGGCAGCAGCCATCATCATGATTGTGATTGCGGACGCAGTCTACAACGGTTATCGAGCGAAGACGCGATGCAATGCAGAAACTTACCGTATCAGAACCGGCCCCAAATATCACACCTGCAAGGTATGCCACTTCCTCATCTCCGAGCTGGTACTGTTGCTGGTGCTCTAACATGAACCTCGCAAAGGATGGCATTGCAGTCCCCTCACGCTTCACAGTGGTGAGTGAGGATATATATCATCAAAACAAAACCACGAACCATTTGTCTTCGCACCGCGTCTAACTGCCCGTCATAGAAAGTAAGTTCTTCTTTGTGCCACGCCTTCAGCTGACTCAGGTAGCCTGGTACGAAACGCAGGATGGGAT